ACGGATATGGGGATGCAGGGATATGGGGACACAGGGACATGGGGATACAGGGACATGGGGATGCAGTGACACGGGGACAGGGGATGCAGTGACATGGGGACATATGGACACGGGGACATGGGGATGCGGTGATACGGGGCTATATGGATGCAGGGACATGAGGACATAGGGACACATGGACATGGAGACATGGGGATGCGGTGACACAGGGACATGAGGACATGGGGACATGGAGACATGGGGATGCAGTGACACAGGGACATGAGGACATGGGGACATGGAGACATGGGGATGCAGTGACACAGGGACATGAGGACATGGGGACATGGGGATGCAGTGATATAGGGACATGGGGACACATGGACATGAGGACATAGGGACACGTGGACATGGAGACATGGGGATGCGGTGACAGGGACAAATGGACATGGGGACACAGTAACATGGGGATATATGGACACAGGGACATGGGGATGCGGTGATACGGGGACACATGGATGTGGGGACGCATGGACATGGGGGCAGAGGGACACATGGACATGGGGATGCAATGATATGGGGACATGGGAACACACAGACGTGGCGACACAAGGACATCAGACATAGGGACACAGGGACATAGGGGTACACAGACACGGGGATGCGGTGACATGGGGATATATGGAGACGGGGATATGGGGACACGTGGATGTGGGGACACGTGGACATGGGATCATCAGGACATATGGACATGAGGATGCAGTGACATGGGAACATACGGACACAGGGACATGTGAACATGGGGAGGCAGTGATATGGGGACATGGAGACACATGGGCACGGGGACACATGGACGTGGGGATGTGGTGGCATGGGGACACATGGACATGAGGATATGGAGACACACGGACATGGGGATGTGGTGACATGGGGATATATGGACATGGGGACACAGCGGCATGGAGATGCAGTGACACGGGGACACATGGACATGGGGATGCAGTGACATGGGGACATATGAACACGGGGATGTGGTCACACAATGACATGGGGACACATAGACATGGGGACAAGTGATGTGGGGACATGGGGACACGTGGGCATACAGACATGGGGACACAGTGACATGGGGACACAGTGACGCAGGTACACACGGCCATGGGGATACAGGGACAGTGTGACACACAGACACGAGTGCACATGAACATGGGTACACGTGGACACAGTGACACGGTTGCTCACAGACATGGGGACACAGGGACGTGGGGACACAGAGACATGGGTACCCGGTGACACGGTGACACCCACCAAACCAAGACAACAACAGTGTCCCTACCCCATCCCTCCCCCCCGACCCCCCCAGTGCCATTCTGGAACACGTCCCAGCTCCGGGGTGACAACACGTTGGTGGCACAGTGGCATGGGGACGCAGCCATGCTGCGGCTGCTGGGGGGCCGGGGCCCCCACCCCCCG